AATCATTTAAATGATCAGCGGATGATTAAACAACTCTACAAACATCATCACCAGCTACACTTATTACTTAATACATGTATTTTTGTATAACATCTACTAAAGTTCTTCTTGAGAAAAAGTGAAAGTTTTACGTCACCATCATGGAGAACAGTTTGCTTTAGTTGGGCTCTTAGCCCTGTCATTTTTAACATTTATATATCTTGGCTGCTGCAATTGTTAAGAACTTTGTTTGACAAGCTCCTTTGTTGTGGCAAGCCAGCTAAAAACCTAAATAAGATCTGGTGATGTTCATGTTGCTATTAAATGGCAGAGACTGTTCTCATTTAGTATAATAAAATTTACTGCTCCTATTCAATGTTAAATCTATTGTTTTACATTATATGTCTATATATGGCAATGATTTCTGGAAGTTTTTAAGAATATCTTGGACAATAACACTGCTTTATGGTGTAAATCGCACTCAAAGAGACATCAATAATCAGCATATGAACCTCAATAATGGTGACAACAAATTTAACAAAATTAACAGTTTAACTCACAAACAGGCAACTGAAAGTCTAAACATAAACAACAGCAGAATCAAACACAAATAAAGAAAACTGTGAGACCATTATACAACATTTATTTATACCGCAATGCATGCTGGGATTTTTGTACAGTGCCACTCTCAGCATGCATTGCAGCATGAAACATTTGAGATGTTACCATTGTTGAGATACAAGGTCAGATTCATGAGGTCTGAGTGTGTATTTGTCATAACTGAACTGTTTTTGTATGTTATTTCTTTACTGTTAAGTAATTACGGAGGTATCTTTTCTGTTTCCACTTCTCATTAATTAAATTAATACCTGCAACTAAGCATAAAATCTATTGCATGAGGCCCTTCATCCAGATTTATACCAAAACATTTATCAGAACTAATTTCAGACAAATAGATTTCTCTATTTATTGACTTCCCAACTTTATTGCTATAGTACAAACGTTTTGTAAACTCTGCATTGCAGCAGTTGGAAAGTCTTCTTAAATGAGTTCAAGGGTGAAGAGCCCAACTAAACCAGCCCCTCACTCCATTACGGTGACACAAAAAACACCTTAATTTCTGTTGGATCTCAATGAGAATAGTGTGGAAGTCCAAGTAGTCAGTAATAAGTGTGCCTGCTGTTGTTTGTGAGTTGTTTAATGATCCTCTGCTGAGACTGAAGCTGTTTTATTTTATTTGATTTTATTTAATGTTGTAACTCAAGTCACTGTTTGTATTTCTTGTTTATTTTCTTCAGTAATTGTGATTATTAACAGCAGGTGTTCATCAGTGTCTGAATTCACTCATTAGTGTTCATTAAAACTGTCAGGTGAACTATATTAGTTAACTAGTGTATGAAATAGTGAACAAGGGCACAAAGTGTGATTTCAAACACAGACTTCAAAACATCAAATCTGAACTCTGTTAGCTCACAGTTTTCTGCAGTTGGTTACTTTCTCGAAAACAAAAATGTTACCCAGAAAGCACTGTTTTTAACAGAATATTACTGTTTTAGGGAAAAAACATTATTATACCGTAGAATCTGACCGTTTTTTAACAGCAATTTTTTACAGTGTAGATACGTCATCACGAAACACCTAATGACTCGTTATCAAGACGACTCATTTGAAGCACTATGAGTCGACTCTTTTATAGATGAATCAACAGTTTTAAACACTGTACACTTACAGATTTAAGCCTTAGCTGGATATTTCACTTCACTTAGAGCTGTGTTACACTCTACATGGAAGGGCATTTTCAAAAACCCATAATATGGGCTCTTTAACAAAATAAATACACAATTTAAATAAAATGCGCAATAAAATAGAAACCAACAACAAGTGAAATAGAAGAAACTGTAGAACTGTTATGGTTATAAACTATATAAATACACACACATGTGAAGGTCCATCTATTAGTCCCATGACAGAGCTAACAGCATGGGTGAAGGTTAAATGCGTGTAAACCTTTTAGCACATGTGAAAAGAAATATTTTTGTTTGTTATAATTTATTTTAATTTGTTTCTAGCTCTGAATTTTAATCTGACTCCAATTCATAATCATTTTAGATTTAGATTCATCTAATTGAAGCTGATTACCTTATAGGTTGTGATTAGGTCTAATTTAGATTGATTAACCCAATAAATCCTTTTATTCAATTAATGTTTCATCGTTTACTCAAAGTCGCTTAGAGTCAGTATGCTGGCCAGTTTCATCTGCTCACGGACACATCTTCTCCAGTTCAGATTCTTAGCAGATAAGCTAATTTCCTTTAAGTAATAATAGGCCGCCCCATGCTTGCTCATACTTAAAGAAAGTTTGATTTAGCTCCTAGATTATATTATACCCCTAGATTATATCATCAGTGATTGTCAGAAATAAACAAGTCTCTAATGCTGTGCCCATGCTCCATCCATTGCGCCTGAATGGATGACTAATCCTGGTCGTAGACTGCGGAAACATTAGCCTAAACAGTCTACTAGATTTAAATGATTTCGGGAGATATTAGAGTTGAACAAGAATTTTACATTTATTTGTCAGAAAAAGATTTTCTATTGCAGTTCACATAATTAAACAAAATAAGCCAATCAAGATTGTACAACATCAATTACTCAAAGATACATTTAAGAGTTAAAGAGGAATACCTGACCATGTAGAAATACATTGCAGCATATAAGTCCTGATGCAGAGCTCAGAGACTCACAACCTGCAATGGAGTATCCTGTCTACAGGATCCCACGGACACTTCTGCACCCTTTGCCTAAATACTCAAATCATCATAAATTCAAGACAATAAAAGCTTCACCAAGACTCTTGCCTGGTCATGAGTTGATGCGAAGACCATTTTCCCTGGAGTGAAGCATCTGGCAAAGATCTTATCAAAGTCAAAATCCAAATTAACTGATATAAAGGAGATTGTAAAATATTACAGTGAAATTAAGACCACTTTACCAATCACACAGAGACATTTAAAATCACACCAAACATGAATATAAAGCCACAACATACACCATATTAAAAACTTAAACATTCGGTGTGGAATGTGAGTGAGCTGCTCTGGTGGAGAAGGTAAAGTCCAGGGCAAAGAGGGGGGCTCAGGATGCATGATCAAGACAACCTGAACAACTGGTTTTCTAGCTGATCTTCTTCTCAGATTACAAAGTTTTATGTCTTAGTGCCTGACCATTCTCACGGTCTTGTCTCGTGTGGAGTTCCATAACAGTTTGCAGATTTTAATAATATGGAGAGATTTAGCCATCCTTACACTATTATGTGCATATCTAATCTTAAACTGTAGTTCTCCTGTACACTGCAACGAGAACCTCAGTCAATAATATTTATGTAAAACTGAATTTTTGTTGCATCATATGATCATATTTGAAACTTTTCATAAAATCATCAAACAATGTGTACCTAAAAAGCATTTTGTAAGAATTTTAAAAAGTTCTGTCCTATTGTCACTAAGTTATTCTTACTTTTTTTTTCTACTGGATATGTGGTTTATATCTAGTATATATATATATTGATTTGTCTATTTGCTGGCTTGCTATCAGAAAACAAACACTAAGCTAGGGGATAGATTAATTAAATTCTACAATTACAAGTGATTTGTAATTTGTTCATTTATACCCCATTTTTGTTTAATAATGTTTTTCTATGCAGACTTTATGTATTGGTCTAATATTTGTATAAAGATAGTTTGCATTTGCATTTACTCATTTAGCATCTTTTATCCTGCGACAAACAACTAATGACAAAAGAAGAAACAGACTCAGTCTACCAAAAGTTCAGAGCTTGTGTTTTTAAATTCTAACAAACCTTAAGCCAAGTCCAACAAGTAAAGCCACACAGTATTGTTTTAAAGCTTATTTAATTATTATTTTTTTTTAAAATGCACTGTTCTATTCTAAAGTCAAGTTGTTAAGCTCATTAGGCCCTGTGGCTTTTGTATTTTTATTTGTATAATTTTTCACTTAAATTGCTGTTTCATAAAGACATCTATTGGAAAGAGTTGCCATATTTGATATAAAGCTTTTATGGCACAAATGTGTTATTTAATTTAAAGCTTACTTGTTTTTATTTATTATAAAGCCTAGCTTGATGTGCTTGATGTTTTTCTTTTGATTATTTTATTGTTGTGAAAAACTATTCACAAAGACAATTTGATTTATTAAATAATTAATCTCTTATGCATTCTTTCATGTTATGTGACAAAAGAATGAATGACTCGGATAAACTAAAAGATTAATTAATTCGCTCATGCGCACATTGTGTAGTGCGAGACAAGATCAGTTCATTTTTCGAGTCCTCTATCGGGTCTGAGGTGTTCGTTCACCACGTGAAAGACTAAAGCCTAGCCAATTATATGCATTTAGAGCCAGAAAAATAATTGATCCATTCACCTCTCAAGGCCTCGTTCTGAGTCGTTCATCACGTGAAAGAAAGAAGCCAATCGTATGCATTTAGAGCCGGAAAAAGAATTGATCCGTTCACCTCTCGAGTCCTCGGGTTTGAGTCATTCGTTCAAGTGACGACTCAAGAACCAGAAGACTCGAAAGGTGAACTAATTATCATGGCTCCTATCGGCTCAGACTGGGTACATTGGTTAAGATTATATGTGAATGTCAGTGTAATGTGAACGCACCACTGACATTTGAAGACATGAAGAGGTGAGCAGGTAAACATTGAATTATTATTTTTTTCATTCTTATAGTATTCTATTTATGACTTATTTGTTGTGTAATCAACCTTCTGGGCTAGTTGTAGATGTGTTTGGAAGCATTTTGTAACATTTTAATACAATTTTGGCAAATTGAACCGAATAAACAAAATGACTCGAAAAAAGATTTGTTCATCTCGATGAACGAGACTCAAAGATCCTAGTCAGTAAAATGATCCGAACTTCCCATCACTATTGAGTATGCGAAATTCTGTTGTACGCCACTGCAAAAAGGGGCGGGATTAAAAAAGATGATTAGACATGAATGGTTTCTCTCCAGTGTGGGTCCTCATGTGTCGATGAAGGTTTGATGAAAAGTTAAAACTCTTCCCACACTGAGTGCATGTGAATGGTTTCTCTCCAGTGTGGATTCTCATGTGTTTATAAAGGTCTGATGAGCAGTTACAACTTTTCCCACATTGAGTGCATTTGAATGGTTTCTCTCCAGTGTGGATTCTCATGTGTGTATGAAGGTTTGATGAGCAATTAAAACTCTTCTCACACTGAGTGCATGTGAATGGTTTCTCTCCAGTGTGAATCCTTATATGTTGATGAAGGTCTGATGAGCGGTTAAAACTTTTCCCACATTGAGTGCATTTGAATGGTTTCTTTCTAGTGTGGATCCTCATGTGTATATTAAGGTTTGATGATTGGCTGAAACTCTTCCCACACTGAGTGCATGTGAATGGTTTCTCTCCACTGTGGATTCTCATATGAATCTTAAGATTGTGTTTTCTTCCAAAACTCTTTCCACACTGAGTGCAGGTAAAACAATTCTTGTCTCTCCTTTTCAAAATATCATCAGTCTGTAAATTAGTTTTTTCCTCAATTTTGACATGATGTTCCTCCTCTTTACTCCCCTCATACTCTTCAATTAGGTCTGAAAAAAAAAAACACTAGTTGTTATCAAGTCTTAAAAACTCTCATCAAAAGCTGAAAAGTGAAAAGACACTGGAAACATTGGCTACACACACTGTAATTTTGATGCACATTAAATGTAAAATAAATCAGATCATATTGTGTTTGGTCCATTAACGTGTACACATTTAAGCAGATTCAATTCAATTAATCTTTATTTATCTAGTGCTTTTACAATGTAAATTGTTTCAAAGCCGCTTAACATAGAAGTTATAGTTTATGGGCAGTAGCGTCGCTACAAGTAGTGACGCTACTAGCTTATCTACATTTCTCAGTAGTGTGGTGGTAGTGTCACTAGTTTTTAAATTAAATAGCTTTTGTGTAGCGAAGCTATTATTTTAGTCAAGTAGCGTTCACACAAGCTACATTTACCGATCGCAGAACAATAAGTGACAGTACTGACATTCACGGAGCTGTGAGGCCGGTGTCTAGCCGATGAAAGTAAATCCATAATGAGGCGAGAAAGACAATTTCTTTTTTTTTCCTGTTTTACGGTGGTCAGGATTCTGTTTATCCAGAGTTAGAATGACCCAGAGTTAGATTGACCCAGGGTTAACAATTTTTTGCATATCATCAGCATGTTGAAATCCATTTCTTAATCAGCAAAAGTCATTTTTAGACTGGTTTGTTGGCCAGTTGAAGTCAGTGCAATGCTAAATGTTATTGTTCCACTATAATTTGTTTTTTTTCCCTCATGTCGTCCCACAGCAACATCATATAGTTTAGAATACTGTACAATGTTTTATAATAAATAATTATTTTAGTGTCCATTTCATTCAGCAGATTTCAAATTAGTGCATAGTGCATTAGTAAATAATTAAACCATTATGATAAATGGAGTTAAAATGCCCTTTTTGAATAAAAAGTGGAAAGTTTTATTGAGATGGATTGTTGGTGATTTTATGGGTTTTGGCCGGATTGGGTAGCAAAACATGAACAAAGGAAAATGAAGACTTGTTTAAAAAGATTTAGGACCTACAACACAATATTTCAGTAAATTTAGGACTTTTTAAAGCCTGAAATTTAGATTTTGGAATTTACGACATTTTAAGACCCAGCAGAAACCCTGTTAAGAATAGTCCTGGTAATTATTATAATAATTATGTACTTTTAACTCTAATACTATCTGTGAGAACTAGCAACAACTTCTAGAAACAACTTTAAACCCATAAAGTTGATCGAAAAAAGGGGAATTGTGATCAACGTGACATATGCAAATGGAAAGTACTAAGCCAACACCCTCATTGTAATAGCAGATATCTTCTATGGAAGGGGTGTCCAAACTTTTTGGGCCGAGGGCCAGATGCAAAAAAAAATGTTGTCCCGGGCCAAATTTTACATACATCACACCGACACGCATATATATATATTTATATATATATGGATGGATGGATGGATGTGTGCATGTATTTTATTAAGAAATTATTTTATTTTGGTCGTCCAACTGTGTTTCTAGAAAGACTTAAGTTTTTAAAAAACTTGAATCTTTGCTGGGCAAATTACAGTTGCAACACTCATCCTTTATAAATTCTCCTTCAGTGAAGGGTTTCCTGTGCTGTGTGATCAGCTGAGCTACCTCATAACTAGCCAAAATGCAAAAAATGCTTTTCTAACTTAGATGTTTTGTTGTCTTGTTTTAAGTCCAAATATCTAAAAAATCTTTAAAAAAAGTTGTCTTGTTTTGAGAAATAAAATGCTAATATTTTCCCTAATATGCAATTTTTTCCTTAAAACAAGCAAATTAATCTGCCAATGGGGTAAGCAAAATAATCTTATGTCAAAAGGAAAAACAAGATTATTTTGCTTACCCCATTGGCAGATTATTTTAGCTAGTTTTAAGGAAAAACTCACTTAATATTGGCATATTATTTCTCAAAACAAATTAGAAAATTCTCCTTTATTTAAGATTTTTTAGATATTTGGACTTGAAACAAGACAAAAAATATAAATAAAAAAAAACATTTTTTGCAGTGCAGTGTAGAATTTTCTTGCACTTTAATAGCACAAAAAACTGCAGTTGTTGAGCTGATAGGGCGCTGCTAATTGTTTTACTTTCTGATCTCATTCGGCACCAGTGTAAGAGCTGAAGGCCTGATGTTTTGTTTCATAATGTCTTTTAATATTATATTCCTTCATTACTGCAACTTATTCCTGGCAAATTAAACAGATACATTTCCCGCTGACCTCTGTGAAGAAAAATTCTTTGCCCCAACGTGACTGAAACTTCTTGCACTGACTGTTGATTTTCCTTTTTCTTGGTGCGCCATGGCTTGCCAAAATAGATTATCAATTATGTTTCCTTCAGTTTGGTTGGTTAGTTTTACTTCATAGCAAGAAGTAATGCCTAATTGAAGGCATGTAATAGCGACACCCGGTGGTTATTTATTGAATTACGTCTATTTTTGTATAGCGGGCCAGATTCTATTAATATTTATAAAAAGCCTCGCGGGCCGCCACAAAACTAATTGCTGGCCGCAGATGGCCCACGGGCCGTAGTTTGGACACCCCTGTTCTATGGGATTACTGTAAGTCAAATATCCTCAGCTCAGTTAAACTTTTTTATTTATTTATTGTTTTTATTTATTTTATATAGTGCCAGTGCTTAAGGACACTTTACAAACAGTAGGAGAACAAGAAAAGCAATAACCTTAAGAAGGTAAAGAAAATGGGAGACTAATAATACATAAAATGAATGACAAAAGACATGAGAAGAAGTAAAGAAAGAAACTCATTCCTGTCTTTCAATGAGTGCTTATGTGAATTAAGGAGAACTAGGCAGCACACATTTAGAACTGCAAGATGGATTTAATTTAGTATTCTTATTAAAATATATCTGAATGAGGATCAAATGACTGAGTTGGTCTTTGAGAATGAAAACCAACCTGTTTGTTCCTGCAGATCTTCCTGTTTGACTGTGAATGTTTCTTCAATCTTCACATCTTCACTCTCCTCTTTAATAAAGGCCATCTTTATAACAGTGTGGAGATCAGTCGCTTCAGCAGGAGTTTTTCTCTGTGTTTGGACACTTTATCCTGTTTTAAAATGAACAAAACAATAAAAATGTTCTGTTTAAAATTTATAAAACAATGAACAGAAACAAAATAACTTCCCTTCAGCACTTGCTTCAACAGTTTCTTTATATGAGAGTAATTAACAAAAAGAAATCAGGTAAGTCTGAGCAAGAAACTATAGCCAAAAATGAGCTGATGAAACCTAGTACTCCATTTCTTATATATAGTGATGTATACTTAGAATAGATTGACATCATGCTGTTTAATAAATTAAACCTTCACTAAAACTCTCATTACACACTTTACCGTTGCTACAACAAAAATAAATCAGGTAAAACGTTTCATTAAAACACGTATTACACACTTTTCTGTTACTTTATTCAAACAATAGCCCTCGATTACTGAGAATAAAATAGTACTATGTTGTATAAAGGGTTAAAATAATATTTCCAACACCAAGAACATAATTTAGCATCGTATAAACAATCCTAAAACTTTAGTACTTTAACTTTAAATCGGGTTATATCTGTAAAAGTTTTAAAGCAAACCTTTCTCCAGTTGAATCACCGCGCTGTAGCGGCGCCGCCTGATGACGTCACGTCACGCCAAAATAAAAGTCTTTTGTTTAGCTTTTTTGCCACTTTAGGCAAAGCAAACTTTATTTATAGAGCACAATTTTATACAACCGTGGTTGATCCAAAGTACTTTACAATAAAATAAACTACACAATAAAATAAAAAAAACTAGTATTTAAAATACAGGAAAATGTATGTTTAAAAGTAATACTAAAATACAAATAAAAAAATAACACGAATTTGTCACTCAAAGGAAAGAAGTAAAAATAAGTCTTTAAGTTAGATTTAAAAGCATCCAATGATGTAGCAATCCCGATGTTTAGAGGGAGACTGTTCCAGAGCCATAGAGGTAAAGTTGGTTTTATAATAGCACATTCTGACTTTCCCCTTAATAATATTATTTTTTTTATAAAAGTATTATTTGCAAACTCTAAAGAGTAAAATCATATTAGCAGCAAATGACTATCAAAGTACATTGTTCACAATCAAATAAACAGTGTCAATGTTGTTTTCAAGACACACTTGCATGCTCATTCCAATCTAATAGTCAAAGTAACATGGTAAACAATACTAGACTTCTAAACGAATGTGTGAATATAAAACCAACTTTACCTCTATCACAGAAAGCTCTATCACCTTTTGATTTGCAGCGAGACCGAGGGACAGACAAAAACTGGTCATCAACTGGTGATCTTAACGGTCTACAAGCTAAATAAAGTCTAATAAGTTCACTTCACTGACATAGGCTGGGGCAAAATTGTGCGCAGCTTTTAATTAAATCCATCTTGCAGCCCCGTAGTGTTGACTTAGTACTTTCCATTTGCATACGTCACGTTGATCACAATTCTCTTTTTTTCATCAACTTCTTTATGGGTTTAAACTTGTTTCTAGCAGTTGTTACTAGTTCTCAGAGATAATATCTGAGTTAGAAGTACATCAATATTATAATAACTAATTACCAGGGCTATTGTGTTTAACCAGGGTTTCCGCTGCGTCATAAAATGTCTTAAGATCCAAAATCAAGCACAAAATTTAAAATCTTTAGCTAGAAATATCTAAAATACATATAAAAAAATATTTATTTATTATTGTTATATATATATATATATATATATATATATATATATATATATATATAATTTATAATTTTTTTCATTTATTTTTTTAATGGGGCAAATAAAAATCTTTTCCATCTGGACCATTTAAAAAATTCTTTAGCTTTATCCCTTTATGGGTCTAAAACGTCATTCATAATGGTCTTAAAAATGTCATAAAAAGAAACCTGCTGAAACCCTGGTTTACAGTTTGTCAAATGATGTGGACTCCCCCAATATTAAATATGCTGAATGAAATGGACACTAAAATAATTGTTATTAAACATTGTACAGTATTCTAAGCTATACCCACCCAGCACGAGACGTCATTTCGACGTCGTTTTTTGGGCTAAATCAAGTCGGCCCGTCATAGACTTTATTTAGCCCAAATTTCGACGTCGAAAATTGGTCTGTATTTGGTCCGTCGGATTTGGTCTAAACATAGACCAAATATCGACGTGGTTGTTTTGCCCGTCGGATTTGGTCCAAACATAGACCAAATATCGACGTGGTTGTTTTGCCCGTTCGATTTGGTATAAACATAGACCAAATATCGACGTGGTCTTTGTTTTGTCCGTCGGATTTGGTCCAAATATAGACCAAATATCGACGTGGTTGTTTTGCCCCTCGGATTTGGTCCAAACATAGACCAATATCGACGTGGTTGTTTTGCCCGTCAGATTTGGTCCACATTTAGCCCAGTATCAGACTTGAACATATGGTTAAAAAGAATTACATAAGTTCCTTACAAAATGTTTTACATCTATTGCTTTTTTCCAGTCCAATGTAGAATGCAAAATATATTTATATAACAGTTTAGTGCCATTACATTTCAATAATGGCAAACAAATAACGACGTTACTGCTGTTAACTCCTTCTCTATTTTCCCTTCTGCTTCATGCACTGATGCATATACTTTTCATTTAAGTTGATTTATTAATAAGGCAAAAGATTGTAACAAATAATGTAAATTTAAATTTGAAGTATATCAACGTAAAAAAAATAGATTAAATAAAATAGGGTAGAAAAAAACAAAATCGTAATACACTTTATAATGCCATTTTCTTTTATGAATTAATCTATTTATCTTATTATTAATAAATCATAAATGTACTATAATCCTATTTGCTGTAACAATAGGCTAAACAGGATGCTCATCAATACATATTTTTACAAATAAATTAAAAGGTTAAATTATTTTACAAGTTATTAATTTCTACATCAATATAAAAACCAATACCTTCATTCCTTCTTACCTCGGGGGAGCTTTTTCATATTGCCCACTCACCAGACAACAACAATACAACATTTTTTTGTGATGTGTTTCATAGTTGAGAAAGCATATAGTGTATTTAAAAACAAAAAACATGGTTTTAAAAACCCAGGCTCATTTACAATCAATATATTAAAATGAATAACGTAAATAAAGTATTGTCTTGCTTTGCTTTGATCTTTTCTCTTACTCGCGTTGCTGCGTGTCCCTGACCTGTGTGAACAATATCGAGAGGTCAGTAAAACTGAACTCATTTCATTATGATTTGAAATCAGTGTAAAGTGCTGTCGATTGACTTGTTGTCCTTTTCCCTTTTAAATATGCCAAATTATCATATGTGATCTCCTCAACTGACAAGGGAAAAACGTCAAAAACATACTAGATGCTTTAAACTGTTCACTGCGGTAGTGCAATGCAAAATGGAAAATTTAGGATTCAATAATGAATTTTAAATAAATATTTAAATAATTTTAGTTTTAGAGTGCAGGTCGATGCACACACATAGGCATAGAGCGCTATGATAATGCTAAATGATCATATATATTTTCTACAACCAACAAGTAGAATAATATGCAAAGATTTGCTATTCAAAAATTTGTTCATAATATAAAAAATACTGATGTCCACATTGGCTCTAGTGCATTAAATAATAATTAATAATAACATTAAGATTTTTTTTTATCACAAAATATAGAAAATGGTATGTTGATATTTATTGAAGGTATCATTTCAATGTTTAAAATTCCAGCATTGTGAAAAACTAGTTACAATTATTGTAAATTTTATTATATCCATTAAAAACAATATGGGGGATTCTATATATGTTTGACATTAAAAGTAAATGTAAATTATATTAGAATTAAAGCTCTTTAAAACTGCAACTGTTTCCAGTATCTTATTTAGTTTTTATAATTCAGCTTTTGCCAATCATAAATGATTAAATGTTTTAATTTAGGGAATACAAAGATTTTTTTATATTGTTTGTAAACTTACAATATGGATGAATTTAGTCATGTGTAAAAATAACACTAAATCATAGCAAGAAACCCTCTTATGGGTAATTACTAGATTGTAACTGAATTGGCAGTAACAATTTACAATTTTACAATTTCTTTAGCCAAACATTCTACTTGCTATAAATGCTAAGATCACTTGACACTGAAATCAGGATTAAAATATTTTTTTAATTGTCCAATATGTGATTTTTATTAGCAGTATTATAGTTATATGCATATATATATTTTTTTTAAATAAAAAAAATGATTCTATATATTTTATATATTCTATTTATATTCTAATATCATACAAATAATATAAATAAATAAATAAATAATGAGGCTATTTATTATAAAATGAAATGTAATATTTATTATTTTTTAGAAATGAAGAAAATCATACTTTGATAATAATAATAATATGATAATAATAATATAAATAATTATGATTGTTATTATTATTTTTATATTATTATTAATAATAATAATAATAATAATAATAATAATAATAATAACAATAATAATATTGTTGTTGTTGTTGTATTTGTTATTATTAGGATTTTTTTAAGTCACTGCAGAAAGTTCTAACCGGCAGGCCCATTTCATATACAGTACAGATACTTAATAAATAACTTACTATAAATTAAAAGAATTAACGTATGCTTTTTGTTTTCACAAGCTTTGGAGATGTAACATAAATTCCGCTTTTTAATAAAAGGTCACCTATAGCTTTCGCCATGAGGCTGTGTTCAAAATGACATCAGTGTTTTTAAAGTGTACTGCAAAGGGAGCACAATTGTAAACATGAAGATCGTTAAAACTGAGTTGTAAAAATAGTTTGAAAGCAAATTACACCCAAGAAAGATGATCTTAATGCTTTTTTTATATTCAATAATTCCAACTTTGAATGTTAGAATGTTCTAAATGAATAGACCGTAGGGGGGATAAGTGGCAATAGAACACAGCCAGGAACTCTTCTGCGCGAGTCAGCGTGATGTGCGTGCGCGGGCTCATCATTTGAATTAAATAACGGACACAAGCAACGGGCGGAACGGTAATCAAAGGTAAGTAAGTTACGATATTCGACGTTTCACATGTTTTATTTGTCGTTTTACTTATAATTTATGTTGAATTGAACTTTAGATGTGTAACGTTTTACATTATAATAATTTTTAAATGAACACTTAACCACTTTATACGTTTTTATGTCGCCCTGTAGTGACGAGGTCATTGACAGCAGCTAATGAATAATAGCTGTTTTGGTTATTTATTTGGCGATTTCAGCAAAATTACTTAATTTTATGTCTTCATTGCTTTCTAACCTGTGTAAAAATATAAGATGATCTGTTAAATCGACTTGGAATGAGCATAAAATATTGCTCCGGCTATAACGTTAAAGGCTAACTTAACGTTATAAGAATTAAGCACTTCGCAAATAGCATTAATGGTGCTTATCATCGAGCTAACATTTTTTAACATGTAATAATCCTAACAAAGTGAATCGCTGTCGGTTCACGGTTTTGTTGCTCTGTTTGTAAATTTAGTGATGGTCTCCTCGCCAGAGAAGCTAGCAGCATTCAATGGGGAAGCTTTGCTATTTCGTAAGTTGTCTAACGTTACCCTATCGCTAGTCAAGTTAATTCTTTGTGGTTTCATTCTTTTCTGATTTCCTTTGTTCACAAACCATGCTTGTCTGTTTTTTTCTGATTGCTGTGCTATGTTCTGGTGTAAGTTTTTTTTCCTGTTTATTAAAAATAATTTTGTCTACATCCTTCTCTTTCGATTCACGTTAATGCAGTTTACTCATAAAAGTATCTTTAAAAATGTTTGTAAACGCATTCATTTTTTTTATTATATCATGAAGCTTTTTATAATTTCACAAGGAAATGCAATCCAAACAAGATCATTGGATTTCTCACAAAATACCATGCAAAAATATACTGAGAGAGGAGTCAAAATTTTGGCTAGTTTATGGTACAGATACTGTGGATTGGACATTTATATTAATGGAATTGTAATAGTAGATACCAGGTGAGATGTCATACTGATTAATATGTTATTTTTCTTATAACTTTTTTATGGCAGTTTCGCTGGAATCTCCAATTGAAAACATCATCGTGTGCGCTTAGACTTCTGTTCCAGTTCTGACTACACCACACTCTGCTTATGTGGATCACTGACTACTATGTTCTCTGAAGGTATTCATTCATTCATTTATTAATTCAGTCATTTATTCATTTTCTTTTCGGCTTAGTGCCTTTATTAATCTGGGGTCACCACAGCGGAATGAACCGCCAACTTATCCAGCACGTTTTTATGCAGCGGATGCCCTTCCAGCCTCAATCCATCTCTGGGAAACATCCACACTCATTCACTACGGACAGTTTTAGCCTACCCAATTTACTTGTACCGCATATCTTTGGACAGTGGGGGAAACCGGAGCACCTGGAGGAAACCCACGCAAACTCCACACAGAGACGCCAACTGACCCAGCCAAGGCTCGAACCAACGACCTTCTTGCTGTGAGGCGCCACTGCAGCGCAGAATCTGAAGGTATTACTGTAGTAAAACAACAGCACCCATGACGGTAACGCTTTCTTTTACAATCCGCAAAGTACCGCGTAAGTACAGTGAAATAACGGTGTGCTTTTCTGTACATATAGTGTACCTACGCAAACGTTAATTTTATGTACAGAAAAGTACACCGTTATTTCACTGTACTTACGCGGTAGATTTCATGCTGAATATCTGGTTGTTACCCCCTTATTACCCAAGCATTACAGTTTGTTCCCTTACCTACACATACCTATACGTTCATTATACTTATACAATACGTACAGAAAAGTACACGGTAATTTCACTGTACTTATGCGGTACTTTGCGGGTTGTAAAAGAAAGTTTTACCTACATTATAAACATTATATATATATATATATATATATATATATATATATATATAATCCAAAGTAATTGTCTTAAAACCATGCACATTTGAATTTTAATGAGAATGAGAATTAGATTTTTACTTGTCCTGCCAACTTTTTCTCTGGCCTACCAAAAAAATAGAAAAGATAATTTTAAGCCATTAATTAAGATAAGTTTTTAACCACATGTTTAAAATTGTGTATCAAAAGAAGACAAATGTATACTAGTTGTCCATATATTAACTTTTTTTATTCAGTAATATAACTTTTTTAACAATTTAGATTTTAATAAAGGTTGAAGGTTCCAGATTACCAGTTAACTATTCATAAATTGGGAGTCTTATTCAATTATACTTGAACCGTATTAGTAAAAAGAGTGTTACTGAACAGTACTTATATTATTTTTTACCTTTACAAATTGTCAGTAGTCAGCACATGCTCAATTAGGGAGATTGTTAGTTGTATAAATCAAAAGCATCATGTTTTTTAGCACTGTGGTATGAGCTTGGTGAAATGATCTTTAATTGGATATTAATAATCTGTTATTGCCTTATTAAAGTGAATGCTTGCAAAAAAAAAATTATCAGCAGAACTTTGGGTGTAATCAAGAGATTCTGGTGACTCATAAAATTAAGATGGAGAGCAGGAAATAAAAAATATGAATGTGAGACATAAAGGAAATCTGCATTTTTTTAATTGATACTATAATACAAAGGAGAATTAAGTTTTCTACTGAACTGAAATATATTTTCTGCCATTGACGTAACAACTGTAAGCTACTCGCATGAAAAAACTATAGTAAAAATATGTTTTTGAACCATACTACAGTTTATTGCTAATATATATATATATATATATATATATATATATATATATATATATATATATATATATATATATATATATATATATATATATAATTTGTTTTTCACGCTAATAATGTTATCTTTCAGACATCATCATCCTCATCATGATCATCATTGGTATTATTAATATTATGATTAAATTAGGATTTTTTTCATTTCCTAATATATAATAAAAAATACATTTTATAATAAACAGCCTCATTCATTTATTTATATGATTAATATATGAATATAGAATACGTGTTAGCTTTTGTAAGTGATTTGATTTAGTATATGTCACATTCTCAATATTATTAGTAAAGGAAACATTGGATCTATATGTGGCATTAATATATATGTCAGTTAATATGGAAAGCGAGTGCATGTTTTTGGCAAAACTAATATTTTTAGTATTTTATTTTAAATGCGTGCTTGTAAAACAATATTATTTGCACAAATAAATGATGGGGTTCTTCTTTTAAAAAAGTAGTTTCTCCCCGTTTAAAACATATGGGCCTTTTACGCTATAACTAACGTGGTTCAAGAGATGGGTAAGCCACAGAGAATTTTGGGAAACATTCGTCACTACATAGTTCTTTCCCCAAACAATGCATCGTATGATAGTGTAGTGGTGAGTTGTTTGAGAAACGCAGCCCTGCTGGTGTGTTATGAATTGCATGTTTTAAATCAGTGGTTCCCAACCTGGGGTCCGCGCCCCCCTTGAGGTAGAAAAAGGCATAAAAGTGCTTCACTATTATAAAGGGCTTTGCAATTAATCGAAAATCCGATTTAGATTTCGGTTTCAAACGATTATAAAAAAGCATTAATCGAGATAAATGATTATTGCATCATATTTTGCCACGTTCCAGTTGTACACGTGTTGCTCTTAAAAGCGCGAAAGAGCTTATGTGTGTGTGCAGCACGATCACGCAGTCAGAAGCATGCGGCAGGTCAGCATTCACTCTCATTCACACACTGAGACGAGCAGAGGAGCGCAGACATCTAAAGTCATCTTAACGTGAGCGCTTTAATGGTCAAATAGGTGTCAAAACGCGGTGTTTAGTGATTATTTACATTAACCCTCATTTGTGTAATAAACAAACGAGTTGAGGATCAAAAGACGTGAAAGAGAAACCATTAAAGATACAGCGCGCTATAATCCTTCTGCCGGCTGTTTTTATTATTATTAAACAAACATAACAAGAAAACCCTCGCTGCTCTTGACTGAAGGACTGCTGTAGGTAAAGTGTTTTTGTTACAGTGAAGATGCTTAAAGCACAGTTTGTTTCATATTTTTATTCTATTGTATTTATTTCTCTTTCCTTTGCAGGGTGGAAAATAACTGTATGTATACAGTTGAAGTCAGAATTATTAGCCCTCTTGAATATTAGCAAACCTTTTCCTGCCCAATTTCTGTTTCATGGAAAGAATATTTTATTAACTTATTTCTGAACATAATAGTTTTGATATCTCATTTCTAATTACTGAGATTTCTTTTTGTCTTTGCTATAATGACAGCACATAATATTTTACTAGATATTTTTCAAAATACAAGCATTCAGATTAAAGTGCAGTTCAAAGGCTTAATTAGAGTAATAAGGCAAGTCATTATAACGGGAGTTTATTCTGCAGACAATCAAAAATATATATTGCTTAAGGGGGCTAATAATATTGACCTTAAATTGGTTTAAAAATATTTAAACCTTTCTTTATTCAAGCTAAAATAAAACAAATAGAAGAAAAATATTATAGGAAATACTGTTAAATTTCTTTGCTCTGTCAAACATAATTTGGGAAATATTTATAAAAAAAAAAAAATCTCAGGAGCGCTAATAATTTTGACTTTAACTGGCAAAGGTTTTGAATAATCGTGATTACAATTATGACCAAAATAATCGTGATTATAATTTTTTCCAAAATCGAGTAGCCCTACTATTATATATGTATTTTTAAGTACCAAAAAAAAAAAAATCTAAACACATACTTAAAATTCCAACATAATAGTGAAAATAATTAAAATAAATAACTTTAAATAATTATTTAAATTTTGCTCACTCGCGCAATCTGCTTGTCAACGTGTCGTAAAGGCAAAATCAAAACAAAAATGGCAGACGAACGTAAATGCAGTGATTCTTCAGAGGCGAAGAAAAAGATTAGACAGTATGACAAAGCCTACCTAGATTTTAGTTTTATTGAAGGCCAAGACAAGTTAAAACTGATTAATTAATATTTTCTATACATATTACTATATATTAATATTACACAAACACACACACACACACACACACACATATATATATATATATATACAGTACATATGTGTGTGCGTGCGTGTGTATTTATATGGTGGGGGGGCTCCAATGTTTGTATATGTTCATGGGGGGGGCCCCAAAGAAAAAGGTTGGGAACCACTGTTTTAAATGACTGAGACATTTATTGGCGGTGTAACCATTAAGCTTAAATAGGCTGAGCATATTTTTATTAATATTAAAACACATTCATAAAAACTAGCCACCCTTTGATTTTTTTTCGTTTCTGTATATTTTTATCAAACAAAAAATGCAATGAATTGTTTATTTTGGTTTTCATTTTATTAGAATAAATATAATTAGTAGGCGACACAACTTCTACACTGGCTCTTGCGTTTTTACATATCCTACAGAAAGACTTTTTTGGCTCAAAGACATATGCCTGTTAATTTAAGCGCTGTATTTTGACAGATTTCGCAAAGGCTTTAGCTATTCTACCTGTCAGCTGGTACCGTTTTGGGACTGTGTGGCGTCTGTATCAAGTGTCTGGATGACAGCGAGAGAGAACGAGATGAGATCAGACCCCAGATTCGATGCGTGGCCTCATGTCAAAGTTACTTTACTGCATTTTTAAAAAAAATATTGGCTCATCTAAATTAACTTTTCGTTCGATTAAAAGCCGAAATATTGCCAGACAGACAAAGCAACTTTCTGTTCAGTGATAACATACGCACACACACAGAATACACTCTTTTCGGCCTATTCATTATTGATTTTTTAACAATAAACGCATAATAAACAAGTGCAAAAAAGAAGAGCTGAACTTCGGAAAAAGTAATCACTGCGGATGCCGCAATGGTTGCTTTGTTTCTCTGCAGTTGGCTAGGCTTATTAATGGCGCTGCATTGCTTCATCACTCGTTTTAATAAATAAGATTATTTATTATTTAAAATTGTAAGATGATGGTCGCGTGATTTTTAAAATGAGAGTATGCATTGCGGATTTATGGCTATTGATCTTATCTACCGGCGACCCACCCAGAGTTAAACATCAAGTAGGTGCGTTAAAGGTGCATGTATAAATTAGTTGTGTTGCCCCCAGATTCTGCAAATAAATCATATGAATAAATAAATACTAGGCGATTTATTATAAAATGAAATTTAATATTTATTATATATTAGGAAATTAAAAAATAATAATTTAATAAAAATAATAATAATAATATTAATGATGACTATGATGATAATAACTATTATTTTTATTTTTGTGTATTAGAAATTAATTTTTTTATAATAATATTAATTATGATAACGGAGATTCTTCTTCTTGTTGTTATTATTATTATTATTATTATTACTATTAATAATAATAATAATAATAATAATAATAATAAGTAGGGTATTGTTTATTTATTTTTAGAAAAGTCTACTTTTACAATTTGACACTTGTAAACCAGAGCAGAAAGTTCTAACCGGCAGGCCCTGTCATACAGATTTAATAAATAACCTATATAAATCAAAAGAATTCACGTATGCTTTTTGTTTTCACAAGCTTTGGAGATGTAACATAAATTCCGCTTTTAAATAATAGGTCACCTATAGCTTTAACTTAAGGCTATGTTCAAAATGACATCAGTGTTTTTAAAGTGCACTGCAAAGGGAGCACAACTGTAAATATGAAGATCGCTAAAACTAAACTGTAAATATAGGTAAAAAGCAAATTACACCTAAGAGAGATGATCTTAATGCTTTTTTATTTTTAATCATTCAATGTTTAAATGTTATATTGTTCTAAATTAATAGGGCAGAGGGGGATAAGTAAAAACTTAAAATTATTTATGTCATTAATTACAAACTCTTCCGTCGTTCCAACCTTTAGAACACACATTTAAATATTTTAAAATATATGATATATATATAGCAATTAAATTATGAAAATTGTGAGATTAAAGCTAGTCCTATAGTCCAGAGATCCGGTCCCCGCGTCAGGTCAGGTGCGCCCGAAAATAAAACGTGGACACGGCGATGGAGGCGCACTCAACTCACAAGGGAGAAAAGTGGGTGACATGAGATGATCAGCTTAATTAATTACATGTTTTGGTCAACTAAATCTTTAAACACAACTCTCTTGAGCTCTAAAAGGAAGAAACGCAGAAGAAATTTGCTGTTAAATAAATTTTAGCAGAGACTCAACTGCCAGTCATTTTCACATTAGTTGTTCGGGAAGATGTAGCCTAATAAAATGTTTTAATAAAAATAAATAGTTCACTGCACAGTCCCACAGTAGGCTACACTATAAATAATATTTTAATTTATTCATTAATATTATTATTACTATGATTACAATTAAGCTAAAATTGACAACGCATAGCCCTTTGAATGTTTGCTTTCATTTTGACATTGCTAAAAAGCGCACTTTTACAGTTGTGTAGAGAAACATCCCATATGCAGCAGCAGTCTAGGTATAATAAATGCCTTTTGCATTTAAAGATAACCAGCCTGCGAAGTCAAGTTTGCAGTGTTATAAATGGAATAGGTATATAGTGTTTAAGTGCAATTACAGCGGATCAACCGAGAAACCTCTCACAATCTTTTAAAAATGTGTAATTAAGGCTATACTGCTATTTGCTTATGCAAAATTAAACAACATTAAATATATTACAGCATATCGAATTTGTTTTGACTTGTAGCTCATGGCCCTAAAATAAAAATAACCTGAAAACAAGTTATTAAAATTTAAATAACTAAAAATGTTAATTTATTATAAATTAATAAATAAAATGACGGGTAGGCCTAGTAACCTAATGGTTAATGATGGTTTACAAATGACAAGCAGACAATATCACGAAAAAAAAAAATACACTTACGATAGCCTAAGATAAATCTTTATTTTTACATTTAAAATGATGAATAAAGTTTTATAGCCTAAGTTGCCTGTTATCCGTGCCAAACTAATTTTCACGGTAATAACTGAATTTAGGCATATTTTTTAGGTATTTTTCTGGCTACACTAATGCCTTAAAATGTAACGAAGTAATTGTTTTGAATGACAGGGTAACATTTAGCTTTTCCCTAACACTGATGTTGGTTGGATAATAGGCTCCGCAAAGCGGGATGACTCGGTTAAGCTGATTTATATTTATTTACCGGTTATACGAATAGTCTGATCGTGGGTCAGCTTGCATGTGTGGGCATAATTTGACGTCTTTACCTAAAACTTTAAACATTCATATGCCTGCTATTTGAAATAAAATTTAAATAAATAAGGAGAAAAACATATGATTTAAAGCACTCGTTTGGCACTGAAGCCATGATCCGTCTGCATTAATAAGCGGTATCGTTGCATAACTTGCATTACCATCATTAATAAAATCAGTAATAGCGACAATGTGCATATTAATATTACTATTAAAACGTATAATACTGCCTTAGGTCAGTAACAAAGTAAAGTAATAATAAATGTGAATAAATAGCCTAAATGAAAGGAACAAAAGAGACCAAAATCAGCCACCAGGTCTAGTGCCCCCCTATGGATTAAAAATGCCCCCTCAGTTCTGATTCCTGGCGCCGGGCCTGGATGTGAGTCTAGTTACCTGCATGAAAAACAGGTAGTAATAGAAACTTTTTTTATTACGTGTTTGAGGCCATATTTGACTACAAAAGTGCAGTCAGTAGGCTACTTCAACTTTTACCAGAGTTGTTTTAAGCATCAGTATCACTTTTTCTTAAGTAGGATGTGTGTATTTTGCCATCTCTTTCCATTTCTTAAAAATAACTAATAATACAATAAAAAGTATGGTTAAATTAACTGAAATGTGTCCTTAAACAAAAACGTGTGTATCATGCAGTCAAAATAGCATTTATTATTTGAATGTCACGTTAATTTTCTTAAAATAACACATAAGGATGTGCATTATATCAACTAAAACAGAGTTTTTCTTTGTTATAGCAGGTGCAGCCAAACTGCGACACAACAGCCACCGAATTTACAGGGCCTTGAGAGATCACCTGTACGGTCTGGCGGTGGCAGGCGCAGAGCTGAAAACACTATCTGATGCTTTTGTTGTTGTTAATGTTAAATTGACCAATATGTTTTGTCATTACTTTTGTCTGCAAATATTAGGCTAATAAATAATATTTTTAAACAAAATGTTGAATTTCTGAATTATGTGAATTTTCTAAAACGTTATTAAAGGTATTTCTCACAACCAGATTTCGACTTAAAATTGACGTATTTTCGACGACATGAAAAAGACGTCTTTTCACCTTTCACTTTCCCACCTGTTTTCCACGTTGTTTGGACGTCTTACAATTACGTCTTTTCGACGACATGAAAAAGACGTCTTTTCACCTTTCACATTCCCACCTGTTTTCCACGTTGTTTGGACGTCTTACAATTACGTCTTTTCGACGACGTTAATAAGACGTAGTTTCGTCTTTCACTTTCCCACCTGTTTTCCACGTTGTTTGGACGTCTGACAATGTCGTCTTTTCGACGTCTTTTCGACGAACTATTGCTGGGTGGGTTTAAGCCATCCCGATTTTAAGAGGGAGACTTTTCCAGAGCCTTGAGGCCGCAACACAGAAACCTCTATCACCTTTTGATTTGCAGCAAGACCAAGGGACAGACAAAAAAAAAAGCGAGACCGAGACAGACAAAAACTGGTCATGGGATCTTGACGGTCTACAAGCTGAATAAAGTCTAATAAGTTAATAGTAATATATAATAAAGTTAATAGTAAAAGATAATATTTTCAAAAGCAGGAATATAATTAAACATATAAAAAACTAAAACTTTAGAACTTTAACTTTAAATCGGTTTACATCTGTAAAACTTTTAAAACAAACCTTTCTCCAGTTGAATCACCGCGCTGTAGCGGCGCCGCCTGATGACGTCACGTTACGCCAAAATAAAAGTCTTTTGTTTAGCTTTTTTGCCACTCTAGGCAGGGCAAACTTTATTTATAGAGCACAATTCTACACAGAACTTTACAATAAAATAAACTACACAATAAAATTTAAAATACTAGAATTTAAAATACAGGAAAATGTATGTTTAAAAGTAATGCTAAAATACAAATAAAAATAACATGAATTTGTCACTCAAAGGAAAGTCTTTAAGCCATCCCGATTTTAAGAGGGAGACTGTTCCAGAGCCTTGAGGCCGCAACACAGAAACCTCTATCACCTTTTGATTTGCAGCAAGACCAAGGGACAGACAAAAAAAAAAACGAGAACGAGACAGACAAAAACTGGTGTTACGGTTTAACTGGTGACCGTGTTAACTGGTGTCCCTTTCCAGATGTAAGCTATTCACGTTTGCAGATTGGCAGATTCGTCACTTTTTCACAGCAACAAAACATGTCCATACCAAATAAAGATTCTTATTACTTGGTGTCAGTGTCATTGTGTGCATTATTGATTTTAATATCTGTGTAGCAGAACAGTATATAACCAAAGTAAGTAAAAAAAATAATTAGAATTGACATGTCTTTAACAGGATTCGAACCCGTGTAGTGAAAAGGTTTAGCACACGTATCAGTCAACTTATCTAACTGAGCTACTCAGAACTCCAAACGAAGCGGTCTGTTTTAATATCTTTGTCAATTAAAACATGCCTTGCTGTGGTTGTGGACCCGTGTTAACATGTTTCCATCGATGTTAACATGTTTACATGTTGTTTAGTTACATGTACTCATTTACATTTACATTTTACATTTACATTTAGTCATTTAGCAGACGCCTTTATCCAAAGCGACTTACAAATGAGGACAAGGAAGCAATTTACACAACTAAGAGCAACAATGAATAAGTACTAAAGGCAAGTTTCAGGTCTGTAAAGTCTAAGAAGGGAAGTATTAGTAGTATTTATTTTTTTTTTGTACAGTTAGTGTGATATTCAAAGAGGCAATTGCAGATTAGGAAGTGAAGTGGAGACTAAATAGTTGAGTTTTTAGTCGTTTCTTGAAAATAGCGAGTGACTCTGCTGTTCTGATGCAGTTAGGGAGTTCATTCCACCAACTGGGCAGATTGAGCGTGAGCGTTCGCGAAAGTGATTTTTTCCCTCTTTGGGATTGAACCACGAGGCGACGTTCATTTACAGAACGCAAGTTTCTGGAGGGCACATAGATCTGCAGAAGTGAGTGCAGATAAGAAGGTGCTAGGCCAGAAGTCACTTTGTAGGCAAACATCAGAGTTTTGAATTTGATGCGAGCAGCAACTGGCAGCCAGTGCAAACGGACTAGCAGCGGAGTGACATGTGCTCGTTTAGGTTCATTGAAGACAACTCGTGCTGCTGCATTCTGGAGCAGTTGAAGAGGCTTGATAGAGTTAGCTGGAAGCCCAGCTAGTAGAGAGTTGCAGTAATCCAGTTTGGAGAGAACAAGAGCTTGAACAAGGAGTTGAGCTGCATGTTCAGATAAGAAGGGTCGGATCTTTCTGATGTTATAGAGTGCAAATCTGCACGATCGAGCAGTTCTAGAAATGTGGTCAGAGAAGTTTAGTTGGTCATCAATCGTTACTCCAAGGCTTTTCACCATTTTGGATGCAGTAATGGTTGCCCCATCCATCTGGATTGAAAAATTATGGTGTAGAGTCGGGTTGGCAGAAACTACAAGCATTTCCATTTTTGCGAGGTTCAGCTGAAGATGATGATCTTTCATCCAGTGTGAAATATCCAACAGGCAGGCTGAGATACGAGCTGGGACCGAGGGATTATCAGGATGAAAAGAGAGGTATAGCTGGGTATCATCAGCATAGCAGTGGTAGGAGAATCCATGTCTCTGGATGACTGGTCCTAGAGATGATGTGTAGATGGAGAAGAGAAGTGGCCCAAGAACAGAGCCTTGAGGTACCCCAGTGTTTAGATGCTGTAGGTTGGACACCTCTCCCCTCCAAGACACCCTGAATGACCTGTCAGAGAGGTAAGATCTGAACCATTGTATAACAGTGCCCGCAACGCCCAGTCACTCAAGCGTAGATAGCAGGATCTGGTGGTTGACAGTGTCAAAAGCAGCTGACAAGTCCAGCAAAATGAGGACTGATGATTTAGAGTCTGCTTTAGCCAGTCTGAGATCCTCCACGACCGAGAGCAGGGCAGTCTCAGTTGAGTGGCCTTTCTTAAAGCCGGATTGCTGGTTGTCCATGAGATTGTTTTGAGTAAGAAAGTCCAGAACTTGATTGAACACTATTTTCTCCAGAATCTTGGCCATGAATGGAAGCAGGGATACTGGTCTGTAGTTTTCAAGTCGCGTTAATGTGTTTCTACAAACTCTCCCGCTGATAGAATAGCTCTCTGTGACTAAACGATGCTTCATCAGTTGCTCAAACCATGTTTTTTCTTAGTTCTAGACTCATGTCTACCTGTGCCTTTGGAGTCGTGTTAACTCATGACCCATGCTCATACATGTAACGTAAATAAAGATTTTATCCAAAAAATGAATACAATGACGATATTATTATGCAACGTATTATGTCTAATATATATAATATTTATTTCATATATAATATTATGCAACAGAATATTAGAATATTATGCAATCAGAATATAATAGTCCCATTGACTCGTGTTAGTCTGTGACTACAAAGTTAAACGAGCTGATATTTTCTCAGAATAGCTCTAAATGACTACGATGTTCCGCTAAATAAGCATACGTTATAAATCGCAGTCCCCCCCCCCCCATTTTATTTTAAAGAGAATTAAAAAAATCAGGCTACATAAACAAAACTCGTATGTGGATTCGAACCTACTAACAAAAGAGACGCATGAATGGAACATACGAGCTATCTAATTGAGCTATCAAGCACTGTTGAAATGTAAGGCTTAGCAGCTTTTAGTAATTTTATCGTATGTAGCCAAATCATGTTCATAAGTACCTTGATACAGATGTGACCAAGATCATACATTGAAATGTTGCGATTTTCAATTAATATTAGTTGCATAATATTATATATGAAATAAATATTATATATATTAGACATAATACGTTGCATAATAATATTGTCATTGTATTCATTTTTTGGATAAAATCTTTATTTACGTTACATGTATGAGCATGGGTCACGAGTTAACACGACTCCAAAGGCACAGGTAGACATGAGTCTAGAACTAAGAAAAAACATGGTTTGAGCAACTGATGAAGCATCGTTTAGTCACAGAGAGCTTATTCTATCAGCGGGAGAGTTTGTAGAAACACGTTAACGCGAGTACATGTAACTAAACAACATGTAAACATGTTAACATCGATGGAAACATGTTAACACGGGTCCACAACCACAGCAAGGCATGTTTTAATTGACAAAGATATTAAAACAGACCGCTTCGTTTGGAGTTCTGAGTAGCTTAGTTAGATAAGTTGATTGATACGTGTGCTAAACCTTTTCACTACACGGGTTCGAATCCTGTTAAAGACATGTCAATTCTAATTATTTTTTTTTACTTACTTTGGTTATATACTGTTCTGCTACACAGATATTAAAATCAATAATGCACACAATGACACTGACACCAAGTAATAAGAATCTTTATTTGGTATGGAAATGTTTTGTTGCTGTGAAAAAGTGACGAATCTGCCAATCTGCAAACGTGAATAGCTTACATCTGGAAAGGGACACCAGTTAACACGGTCACCAGTTAAACCGTAACACCGGTCATGGAAGCTTAACGGCCTACAAGCTGAATAAAGTCTAATAAGTTCACTCCACTGACATAGGCCGGGGCAGAATTGTGCACAGCTTTTAATTAACAAAAATAAATCAGGTAAAATGTTTCATTAAAACACTTATTACACACTTTTCTGTTACTTTATTCAAACAATAACCCTCGGTTACTGAGAATAAAATAGTAATACGTTGTATAAAATGTTAAAATAATATTTTCAAAAGCAGGAACATAATTTAACATCATATAAAAAACTAAAACTTTAGAACTTTAACTTTAAATCGGGTTATATCTGTAAAACTTTTAAAACAAACCTGTCTCCTGTTGAATCACCGCGCTGTAGCGGCGCCGCCTAATGACGTCACATGC